GAGAGAATAATAGTTGTGATTGTTTAATCTTCAACCTCATCAAGACCTGAGAAGGAAAATAACGATACTAGAGTAGACAGGAAGTGCGGATGGGCAACTTCCAAAAGGTGCAGCGGGGACAGAAACAGCAAGTCACCTGCACAGTCACCCTAGGTCTCACAGCAATGTTGGTACACCCAGTTTTGGCTAAGGCCAAGAGAACTTGACAGACGACAACAACAGCAGGAAGGTAGAAAGGCTGTCTTACCCTGACTTGGCAAGGTTCAGCAGTCTTCTATATTTGTCTCCTGCAAGCACATAGGACTGCATGTCCAAATCAGTGGTCAAGGTGGGGGCAGTTCTTTGCCCAAGAGGCCATTAGCTGAGGCGAGAATGAACTCCAGCAGGAGCAACAACAGTGTCCAACATATTTTCAGGAAAGTGCATGGTGCTGTCAGGAGCAACAGTGTCTCATGTCAATGGAGTACTAATATTAAAACATTTTAATGCCATGTTCTGCCATGTCTATGAAGTGATTGAAGATTAAGCATCCATGTCTGACTAATCTCATAGGTAAAAGAAACATGAGTGAAGATAATCTGTAATACTCAGGAACTTAGCTAAAAAAATGATTGAAACTTCCCTGAGTAAAGCAGGGACAAATACCTAAACAATATAACTATGTACATGTGCATACATATAAATCCCTAAAATAGAGGTAGAATAGAAATGTCTAGACAAGAGGTAGAACTATAAAGGGCAGCATGATAAATATCCCAAATTGTATCAATATATAAAATGTCTGGAACACAAGCAAAAGTATACCTACATAGACTATGGTAAGAATAATGTGCATAAAACATCATAAATGGAAAGATTTCACACAGTATGACAAAATATAACATACCATTCTTCCGGGAAGGGAATATAAACAATTTACATAGCTTACCACAAATAAGAATAACAATGTAAGCTGTAAAATACTATTATCTCACTCTTACTCAATAATTCACAAGAAAATAGGCTAATCTACCTATATCCCATCTAAACCATATATTTCCCAACCATACCCTATTCCTGTCTAAAAGATAAACCCGAATCTAAGCATCACCTTCCATACCTGACCCTAAGTAACTAAAACCAACCAAAAGAAGATGAATATGATCCACAAATTCCAAGGGTAGGGAAAGAGGGCCTCGTTATCTTAAGGTTACTTTCTGCTGAAATGGGATGATGATTGCTCCATGGGCTCCTGTAGGAAGAAAATTTTTAGCAACCAAATTTCTCAACAGAACTGGCTGTGACATATGTAGCTAGTCACTGTGTGGCAGAAAATGCTTGACTGTAGCTCTATTTGAAACGCTGGCCAGGGTGTAATAAGAAAGTGCACCATTACAGCTAGCTAGTCATGAGATGTCTCGAGCAAAACAGTCTCAATCCGGTTTTAGGATGATGTTTGTAGTCCAGATGCATCAGGTTGAGTCAAGTGGAAATGACGAAGTGGGGCCCCATCTTCTTTCCGAAGAGTTCAAAGATTGCTGTTAGGAATTGTTATTATTCCTTGTGGAAAACTTAAACATCAATATTAAAGTAAAATTTTCAAGTTTTAAGGTATGCATTAGGGAAAGGCAACAATAAGCATTAAAATGCTTAAAATTAAAATTAGGATTTCAGAGAGAAAATTGCGTATAAGCGAATGAATCCCCAGATTTTGTTTTCTTCTGCTTTACACCAATTGGCATCTTGATTTAAGGCAAAAACTGTTAATTTAATCTTAACAACATGCTGCTTGAATTTAGAGAAGGAAAGCCAAATCCAACTCCAAAGCCAGCATTTGTTTACATGAATTGGGACTACAGGAATACTAGATAGTAAAGAGAAATAGATTTCTGTATAGAAATTCCTCTTCATTAAGTGATTGTTTCTGGAAAGCTGTCTTCTCTTCTGTAGGTACCTACATGTTCAGTGTCTTTTGGCTGTTTGAAGATAGGTTTTCTCTGTTTTCCTGTAAGAACAAGAACAGAACACTTCCCCTTCCTTTGAGAGGTCTCCACACATCTCATGGGACCTAATTTGTTGGATGACTTGTCATTTCTCTTCATTAATATGTTTCTCTTGTTCAGCTTGGATCTTGATTAACTTAGATGGTATCCATAGTTTTTCTTGTCCTGTAGATACAAATGCAAAACCCCTACCCCAACGTAACACATATCCTGGTTTCCATTCTGAGGTCAATACATCCTTGAAGTACACCAGCTGATTTAGTTCAAAAATTTTTTCTATTGTCCAGTGTCTTTCTGCAGCTATTTTTCCTTTTTCATCAGAATTAAGAAAGTTTAATGTTAATAAAGCATTATGTAATCTGTGTTTGGGTGTCTTGGTTCCTCCTTCCTGTTTATGAAGCATTTATTTTTAAAGTACAATTAATGCATTGCATTGTTTCTGTTCTGGTTATTGAGGCATCAGACATGGAACAAATTTTGTTTTTTACTTGGTCATTTTTATGTTCCATGCTTTGTATTCTACCTGTCAGCTCTCCAATGCCATCTTCAATATTCTGAAACTTTTTTTCTAAGCATTCTATGTTTTGAATCCTTGTTACTTAGTCTCCTATAGTTTGTACAAGTTCCTTATTGTTTGATATAATCTCAAACCATTTCTTTAAGAATATCATGTTAATGATGAAACCCATTGCTATTACAAAATAAATGTACATATTGGTCCAGTCATAATTTTCTTCTGCTAAAATTCCTTCTATATATGAAGTAAAAGAATTCCTAAAGTCCTGCATTATAAAATTATCTGCCATAGGTATGGAACAATTGATCTCAGATATTATATCAGCTTAAATTGCAAAGGATGTTACAATTACCTTAGGTGTAATTCTGCTGTCCTGGAACTTTGATGCTTTTAGTTGTAGATCTCAGCTTGTGATAGTTACGCCTGGAGGTGTACCACCAAATAGCATCCAGCAGCAGAGGATCCGTCTGATCCTGGTTCTGCCCAAAAGTGTACCACCAGTGTCTGGGAGTGTACTGCCAAATAGCGTCTGGCAGCAGACGATCCTTCTGATCCCGGTCCCTGTAGAATAGCTCTTAACAAACTATGGCAAGCTAAATTTTGTTAGATAAATGAGTAAAAGGAGCCTTGTCGAATTGCTGGGACCGCAGGGCTAACTGCAGGAAACGCACAAGCAGGGCAGGCACCATGCCTCTGCACGAATGCAAAGTGGAGAAATGGGAAAAAAATGAGAAGCAGTGAGTGCCTTCTCAGGGTCGCTGTGGAGGCAAAGGAGTTGTAGGGCAAAGGCAGATGTCCCAAAGCTGTGGTGAGTCCACCTGGTTAGGCACGGGACCCTGCCCGTTCGGAATGGTGGGGGAAAGGGAGTGGCGTCTGCCACCTGGGTGAAACCCAGGTTCCATGAAAATCCTGATCCCACTTCTGGCACCAGATATTGCGGTTAAATAGGGATCAGGATAAACAAATAAGCCGAATAGATGTTTATTCAGGAAAAAATTACTTACAACCTAGACAGATGAACACCAGCAAGTTCCACCAGATGCTCTCTTCTCCGCATCCTGCCAGCCAGAGAGTGTTCCTGGCTCATCCTCAGACCTCCTTCCACAGGTCACTTCCGCCCCTGGCTCCACCCCCAATGGGTGTGGTCAGTGCCCACAGAAGGAGACAAAGTGAATATCCCACTGCAATCACTCTTTTGTTTTGTTGTTTTGAGACAGGGTTTCTCTGTATAACAGTCCTGGCTGTCCTGGAACTCGCTTTGTAGACCAGGCTGGCCTTGAACTCACTAACATCCTCCTGCCTCTGCCTACTGAATGCTGGGATTAAAGGAGTGCACCACCCCTGGCCGGCTCTGTCCACTCACAGTTAAAAGTGGCTCCCAGTTGCCCAGTCAATGGTGGTGCATGGGAGGCAGGGACAGACAGTCTTTGACTTCAAGGGCAGTTTGGTCTACATAGGGAATTCCAGATCGTCCAGGGTTACACAGAGAAATCCTCTCTCAAAAAACCAATAAAAATAAGCAAATAAATAAATAAATGTAAAATAGTGACTCTCAAACCTGATATGCCATAGACTTCACCTCTAATTTTTTTTTTTTTTAATTTTATTTTTGAGACATGATCTCACACTGTAGCCTAGACTGGTCTGGAACTCACTATGCACTCTAGCTCACAGCAGACCCTGGCCTCAGCTGCTGGAGTGGTATTAGGTTACAGGTATAAGCTATCATGCTGGGCTTCCTCCTCTCATTTTGAAGAAGGACCTGAGGTTGCCCAAGGTGCATCACCTAGGTCAAGGATACAAAACTAAAAACATCAGATATCAGGGCTGAAGAGATGGCTCAATGGTTAAGATCACTTGTTCTTGCAAAGAATCTGGGTTTGATTCCCAGCACCCATGTGGCAGCTCTTAATTGTTTCTAATTCCAGTTCGGGGAGATCAAGTGCCCTCTTCTGACCTCCCTGAGCTCCAGGCATGTGAGTGGTACATAGACATATGTACAGGCAAAAAACACACATAAGTAAACCTTAAAAAATAATTAAAGACATCAGCTATCTAGGAGCAATTTCTTTATGAGTCTGAATTCTTAGTAATGCTTTTATATGACTTGATCTGTTTGATTAGACAGTGGCCGTCTTCCTCTACCTTCTTCTGTCCCCCTCCCCAAACAAAAAAAGGAAAAGAAAAAAGAAGAGGGTAAGCTGTTTATTTCCAAAGTGCCTGACTTTTGGGAGACTAATCAGATCCTTACATTAGGCAGAGATAAACTAGGAAATAACAGTGATAAGTAGGTGTCCAAAGACTCCTGGGAAATGGGCTTGGAGAATGCCAAATCCCATTCTCAGTAAAGGTCTGGATATTTTCCTGTGGCTCAGCATTAATGAACAAGAAGAGTCTTGCCCCGTTTAAAGAAGGGAACAAAGTTAGGGACAAAGCCTTAGTGATTGGTGAGCTCTTCATTGATAGAATTGGTAATTCTTGTTTCAAACTTCCCTTTGCAGGCTAGCTAACGACCAGAAGAAATAGAGTGGAAAATGCAAAACAACGAAATTATTAAACCGGCCAAATACTTCTCAGAGCTGGAGAAGAGCATCTTGCTTGCTTTAGTAGAAAAGTACAAGTATGTGTTGGAATGTAAGAAGAGCGATGCACGAACTATTGCCCTCAAGCAGCGCACCTGGCAGGCACTGGCCCATGAATACAACTCTCAGCCCAGCGTGTCGCTGCGGGATTTCAAACAGCTGAAGAAGTGCTGGGAGAACATCAAGGCTCGGACCAAAAAAATTATGGCCCATGAGAGGAGGGAGAAGGTGAAACGCAGCGGGAGCCCCCTGCTGAGTAACCACGTTCTGGGCAAGGAAAAGATCAGCAACATGCTGCCAGAACAGCTGTACTTCCTGCAGAGCCCGCCTGAGGAGGAGCCTGAGTACCACCCGGATGCAGCTGTCCAAGGTATCCCTTCCCATGCTGTCGGGCTACACTGGCTGAACAGCTTAACCTTGGAGTTTGTTGTTTTTAAGATTGTTTTACTTGTGAGTGCTCTATTTGCATGTATACCTTTATGCCAGAAGAGGGCATCAGATCCCATTATAGGTGGTTGTGAGCCACCATGTGGTTACTGGGAATTGAACTCGGACTTCTGAAAGAGTAGCTAGTGCTCTTAACCACTGAGCCATCTCTTCAGCCCCTTAACACTGAATTGTAAAATGCTCCATTTTTAGGAAACTTGTAAGAAATGTTGATATCAGACTGGGTTGTTACACAGGGCATTCAAAACGGAAGTCCTATGTTTTATGCAGCCTCTCTTAGAGGTGATTGTTGCTTAACCATAAAGAGCAAGTGTTTTTCATGCTCAGTAGTAAGGTACTCGGGTTGCATAGCTCAAACTATGTCCAGTGTATTAAAGGAAACTGGAGGGAGATTTCTGTTTGTTCACTCAGTCTTGGAAAAAGTTATTTTTGAGGACCAACCATGCTAGGTACTACTGTAAGTCACTCAAAAGGCCATACTAAATGAGTACACTATTTCCAATTTAAAAGCGAAAATAGAGGTTAGTGGATGGAGAAATGGCTCAGTGGTTCAGAGCACTTGCTATTCTTGCAAAGGACCAGGGTTCAGTTCCTGGTACCCACATTGGGCAGTGTTCAACTGCCTGTAGCTCTAGCCTCTGGGGATCAGTACCAAGTACAATATAAATTTGTGTTTGTTTTTGAGACAGGGTTTCTCTGTGAAACAGTCTTGGCTGTCCTGGAACTCACTCTGTAGACCAGGCTGGCCTCCAACCCACAGAGATCCACCTGCCTCTGCCTCCTAAGTGCTGGGTTTAAAGACATGTGCCACAATGCCTGGCTAGAAATATAAATCTTAAAAAAGTAATGCATCAAAAGCACAGAGACTAAATAAAGCAAAATACCTGTAGTACCCACTCAGGTGCATACCAATAGTTTACTAGCTGTAATAATTGTAACCCAAAGTTTTTATTTGTGCCATTCTAAGGGTTTAGGGAAATTCTACGGACAAGAGTTAAATTTCATCATACTCCTGTTACAAAGAGCAAAACATCACATACAATACTTAGGGAAGGAAGAGACTGTCTATAGTCAAGGATGTATGGTTACTTGTAGCTTCAAAAGGCAGATATCAAGGGGTGCCTCATGTCTCCAGGTAGGCAGAGAGCGGAAATATATATAGATAAATTTCCAACAATTCCCACCACTTTTAAGACAGGAAGTAGCCCCTTTATAGAAAGGTCCATTGCAGTTTGCAGAAGGCACACCATGAAGCAGAGAAAGGTTGGTGGGGTTGCTATGGGACTGCACGGAAGTGCTTCAAGGGCGCAGCAAACACTTGCCTGGGAAATCTGGTTCTTAGCTTACAGAAAGCTGAATCCAGTGTCCCCAGAGAAGACAGAGCTCTGAGGGCCTGGCTCCTGTTAATTAAAAGTCATAAGAAACTGTTTGAAACCAAGAATGCTGTGTAGAGTGAGAAAGGTAATTACCATGTGAGCCAAATACATGCTTTTGATTAACACTTTTTTCCCTATGGGCAGATCATCCTAGGAAGCTAAATTATGATACAAACTTTGCTTGCTAATCAGTTGATTAAGGTTAAATCCAGACTAGAAAGTCGGGGTGACCACTGTGGTCATTTGTCATGGGTCTTATACATCATTTCCTGATATAGGAGACTTATGTCTGGGTTTGGAGTTCCCACGCCAAGCTGACTCTTGGCAAACGCAGTTTATGTGGGCCCTGCCAGCTCTCCTATCCCTCCATGCTGCTTCTGTGAGGGTGTGCTTCTTTTGTTGATCTTTGTAGCTCCCCTCGCTTTTCTATCTTGTTGGCCGAAGGCATGGTTCTGGGATGGAGGAAGGGAGTTAGCAATGCTGCTTTAAGTGTGGCCAACTCCCCTTGGGCCCTGTGCTGTGCCGAGGAAGATACTCATGTGAATGCCACCTATTTAACAAATGTGTGTTCTAGATTATTATGTGTCCATTTTGTAGCTGTCCTTTTTACCTTTTTAGTTCTCCTTCTATCATGTGGTCCTGGGGATTGTACTCAGGTGTCAGCCTTGGTGACAAGTAGCTTTATCCATGAGCCATCTTACCAGCCCTTGTAGAATTGTGTTTGAGGAAAAGACATGCCCAGCCCCACCCCTGGCCACCCCTACTTTTAAAATATGAGGTAGGATCTAGAGATTTCATCTCATGACTTTTTTTGTCTTTCCTTTGGAAAAATATGCAATTCATTTACTAAAATAGAAATTTTAAACAATGAAATAAAATGTTTTCCCCTTCCTCCTTCCTTCCCTCTATCCCTCCCTCCCTTACTTCTTTTCTTTCTTTCTGATTTAGTCTCACTATGTAGCTCTATCTGATCTGGAACTCTTTATATAAACCAGGATGACATTGAACTAATATAGGGCTAACTGCCTCTGCTTCCCAAATATTTGAACTAAAAGTGTGTATGTACCACTATACCTGGCCAAAATGTGGATTCTTGATGCTCTTTCTGTAGTGGCATTTGCTGGGGACTCATTTGTGAGACATTTTTGAAGATTCATTTGATTTTACACACATACACACACACACAAATGTGTGTGTGCCTTAGTGTATGTATGTATGTATGTATGTATGTATGTATGTATGCATGCATATGTACCACATGCATGCAGGATACCCATGGAGTCCATAGTGGGTGTCAGATGCGCTGGAACTGGAGTTATAGCAGGTGTGAGCTACCTGATGTGTGTTCTGGGAACCAAACTCTAGTGCTTTGCAAGAGTGATGAGTGCTCTTATTACTGAGACATCTCTGCACATTAACTTAGTGTTTGTGCATAGGTCGCACTGGAAGCTTCCCTTTCTGCTGGTACTTACTAAAACACAGCCAAAGATCTTGCTTCCCATTACAGAGCTGAGAGCAGTGAGCCTTGGTACCCAGTCACTTTGGAAGCACTCATAGTTGAGGCGCTGGGACTCTTTTTTTGCAATTCAAAATGGCTTTGGGGTTTTCACTCATTTTATGTTTCAGTTTATTTACTTTCAAGAAGTCAGGGAGAAGGGCTGCAGAACTGACTCAGTGGGTTAAGTGCTTGCTGTTCAGAGTCCAGCACTAAATAAAAAGACAGCTGTATAACCCCAGTTCTGTAGTGGGTGGGGACAAGAGGATCCCCGGAGTCACCAACCCAGCTCCAGGGAGACACCCTGTCTCCAGAGAGTAAGGCAGAGTGATGGAGCAAGGCATCTGATGTCTTCCTCTGGCCTAGTGGAGGTGTGCACATGCTCATCCCCCAACTCCCTCCATCCCTCCTTGCTCTGTTTCTCTCTCACACACACAAATGGCAATAAAATTAAACAAACGAAAGATGGGTATGGGAGGAGGCAAGGATTATCAACGATCATTTCTGGAAATTGGTGGAGGGAAAGGTAGAAATGTGAACATCTTATGTGTTTTTGACACATGGTTCTCTGTGTGTTGCTTTTGTATTTGCAATACTGTGGTGTCTAATACAGCAGGGAGCTAATAAGCAGTTGAAATATGAGTAGACAAAACAGATTTTTGTAATCATTCACACCACAATACCACAAGAGTCTCATCAATAGTTTTATGTTAATTACACGTTTAAATAAGTTTTTAGATATACTGGATTAAAGTATATCACAAAGTCAGTGTAGCTTTTATCTTGTGGGTGTAAGCATTTAGAATTACTGGTAAAGTTTATATTCTACTCTGCTGATCAATGCTAGGTTCCCAGAGATGTGCTGGAATTTATTATAAAATGTTAAAAGCAGGATGGAGTTTAGCAGATTCCACTAGAGGCCTCCCTCTAGCTATGTTTTTTATGGGAGATAGCATCAGTGTGTCACTAACCCCGGAATGTTCACAGCTTCATTGGAGACTTTCTTACCGTGTTCAACAGTGTTTGAACACAGCGGCCAGACCATTTCAGGAATGTAATTGGGGTTGCAGTTATAAGAAAACCAGTGTCTGTCCTGTTCTGGCTCCTTCACAGTCTCCAGATGCAGACTTTGTGATCTGTGACAATTTAGTCATCCTTTTTGAGGACCACGTGTGGAGAGGCTGGTGTAGTGGATAGGATGACAGTTTAAGTACATTAAGATTATTTATTTAATTTCGTGTATGCATGACACAGGATGTGTGTGATGTCAGAGGACAACTTAGGGGAGTGGGCTCTATTCTTTACCACGTGGATCCTGGAGATCCAACTCAGGCCCCTCAGGGCTGGCAGCAAGCACCTTTACCGATTGAGCCATCTCACTAGTCCCTTAAATACATTTAAGAGAGCTGGGCATTTTTAGTAGCAGCCACATAATTTAGAAGTTATACTTAATTTTGTATGCACTGTGTCTCTATTATGAAGCTATAATGACCATTTACTTCCAAGTCCCCCTGTCACTGTTGAATCCAGTTCTGTTCTTTTAGGGTGTGAACTCAGATAAAGGGGACTGCAGGGTATTTCTGGTCATGGCAGGCTTGCATCATTGGTCTGTGCAAAGCTCCTCTTGAGTGTTGGTTGTGTGTGTGCTGCCTTTTGGTTTCCTTCTCTTATATTGCATCCTGATGGCTCTCCCATGCTTTAATAGCCTCTCACATGTGCTGATTAATGCACAGAGATTGAACCCTGTGCATTAGCTAGTTCTTCGTGCTTTTCTCACGTGGAATAGCATGTTTAAGACCCAGTTCCATTGCTGTGTGAAGACGACCAAGCCTTTTAATTTTGGTTAAGATGTAAACTCCTTTCGTACACATCTGCCACATCTTACTCATTTTCTCAGCCATCTCTTGCCTTCGTTCTGATGAGAATAACTGGAGATAGTGCTGCACTGTTTTCTTTTCATCTTTTCTTTGCTGTAGTAGGCTTCTCCTGTGGGTGCTAAATTTACTCAAATTACCCAAGTGATAGAACACCCTCTTGGCTGTGTTCTCAGTCCCAGAAAAGCCTTCCTGCTCTTTTTGCATAGGATTGGGTTTTCTATTTCGAGTGGCATTGTTTCACCTGGGAGAGAGATGGTAGGATATGTGTTTGCAGCAGGCTGCTATTCCCAGGCTAGTCTTTTTCTAATTAAGGGATCTCTCAGCCTCTGTGTATTGGTGCTAGTCTTTGAAAGTTGCTTTGCTAGTCTGTCTGCCTTTAAGTCCTATCTTCTGCCAGTCTTCTTAAGAGGTCTGCTTGTTTTTCTTTGGAATGTGTGTGTCAGCACACATCTCAAAAAGGATGGGTTAAAAGGAATTGTTTCTTTGCTCATAGACATTGCACTGCTATGATTTTATTGTAAAGCAGGCCTGGATTAGAACCATGGATTTCCATGTAGTCAGATGGCCTTAGGTGCTAGATTTGGTTTTCTGGAGTCCCACTCTCCTCAAAAGGTTGTAGAAACTGAATGAGGGACTGTACAGTGCTAGTATCTGTTGTGGTACACCTAAATGGCAGCTGCAGTCACTGCCACCACCATGTCCTTGAAGCCTGGAATTGTTAAGGTAAAGGGGAATAGTTGAGAATTGGAAAAAAGTTTTACATTGTGTGTGAATGGATGAACGTTAAAGACTCATGGGCGTGCAGTCAAGCTGTGAGGGTAGAGAAGTCAAAAAATGTCTCTTTTCAGTGTTCAAAAACAAAACCACTTACAGATTTAATATTAGAAAGGTAACGTGGTTGATCTTCACATCTGAGGGCCTCTGTCCCCAGTGTTACTCTTTCCCATTCCTTTCTCTTGTGCTTTGGTCCCTCCATTGTGTTAGGTGGGGAGAGATGTGACCACTGTCCTCAGTTTAGTCCACATGCGTTTATTCAATGCTTGCTGCTACCCCAGTCTCTGGGCTGGCTGGGCTGTACATGAGAGTGAAATGATGAGTTTCTATCTCCGAAGAGCTGGGGACTTGAGCGGGAAATGATCAGAGCTTTTTTCTCCTTTCTTTTTCTTTGTTTTGTTTTGTTTGTTTGTTTTTGGAGTTTTAAAGATTTATTTTTATGTGTATAAGTATTTTGCCTGCATGTCTTTGTACTACAAGCATGCAGTACCCACAAAGGCCAGAAGAGGGCATCAGATTCCCCTGAATCAGACAGGGTGTTGGGACTCCAACCTGGGTGCTCCAGAAGAGCAAGGGTTCTTCTCTGAGGAGAAGATTCTCTTTATGGAGAATGCAGAGTTTCTTGGAAAAGTCTTGGAGTCACAACTAGAAATCTCCATGGGCTGTTGGAGGTAGAATGAGTGAGAAAGCCCTGGGTTCAGTTCCTAGCTTTACACAAAAGCAGATGTGGTGGTTTGCATGCGTGTAATCCCAGCCGTGGGATCACAGTGGGGTGGGGAGTAGAGGGAGGAGGATGAAATAGGTCATCTTCAGTTGCACAGTAAGTTGGAATATAGCCGGGGATGGAGGCTCTGTCACAAACAAGCAAGCAAATGGAAAGACTCCACAGCTATTGGAGTTAGTGGTTTTCTTCTTGACATTCTCTAACACTAACCATATTGCCCTATGTATTCAGGCCAGTAAATGTTACTAGCCATCCACTGGGTACCAAGGAAAGTAATTAGTATCCAAGGTTAATGAAATGAGCAAGGCCTGGTGCCAAAATAGAACAGTGTGTGCTGAGTGTTGTTAAGGAGAATACTTAGGCAGGAAAGGTCTGGGGTTTCAGAACCACAGGGATCACAGAGGAGGTTGAAAAAGGCAAACTGGCGTGTGTGTGGAGGGGGTGCGAGTGGGTTGTGGATAAGTATTTACCAAGCCCAACTCTGAGCTATGGGAATAGTGAGACACAAAGTTGGAACAGAAGCATCACTTCAGAGAATGAATGTTTGGGGTAGGAGCCAGGTGCACACAGGATGTTTTGAAGACTAAAACAAGGAAGATGCAAGGTTGGGACCAGATTGTAAAGTTAAATTGAAATAGAGCCAGATTTGGGGACCTCAAGGGAACAGGTACTCCAAGGAGACTTGAGAGGAGCAATCTAAGAGGAAGGTGGTTATTAAAATACTTAGGGGAGATTTCAAGGTCTGTCAAGTACTGGGGACAGGGTAAGGAGATAATAGACGTCCCTGGGAGCCGAACACTGCCTCCTCCTCACAGTGCTGGAGCTAACAGGCATGTATATAGAGGCGATTAAGGAGACATGGAGGGAGATGGGCCAGAGTATAGGCTCATCCCCAAGGAGGAGCAGATACAAGGACTGACTCCAGTGGACAGGAAGTCCCACAGCACTCTTGAGCTAGAACAAAAGGTTCATGGCTGATGGAGAAACTGTGAAAGGTGACCAGACTGACAGGGAATTTAGCCTGATGACTCACATTGTTGCTCCCATGTTGCGACCTCATGCTTCTCAGAGTTGGGCACATTTCACTTTGGAATTTTTATCTCCATCTCAGGATCTCTCGATAAGCACGTTCTCTGACCATGTCCTAGAGACAAAGTGAAACACTTTATCAAAGTCAGGTGAGGTCAGGACCTGGACATGAGGGCCAAATGCAGACACTGGTTTAGAGTCATCCTGCTGTGAGGGACACTGCTGTTTGGAATTGGATTGACATTACTCTTCTGCTCATAAAATCTTTTTTAACTTGTTTTCTACTGTTTTTACTGTTATTGTTTCCAGAATCCTTTCCTGTTTCAAATAGAGAACTGTGTGACGATGAGAAAGAGTTTGTCCATTTTCCAGTATGTGAGGGGACCTCACAACCAGAACCTTCGTGTTCAGCCGTCAGAGTAACAGCCAACAAAAACTACAGGAGCAAAACATCTCAGGAAGGCGCTTTAAAAAAGATGCACGAGGAAGAACACCACCAACAAATGTCCATCCTCCAGCTGCAGCTGATCCAAATGAACGAGGTGCATGTGGCCAAAATTCAGCAGATAGAGCGGGAGTGTGAGATGGCAGAGGAGGAGCACAGGGTCAAGATGGAAGTCCTCAACAAAAAGAAGATGTATTGGGAAAGAAAACTGCAAACTTTTACCAAGGAATGGCCTGTCTCCTCATTTAACCGGCCCTTTCCCAATTCACCCTAAGACTTGGGGATGGCCCCCTTGTAGTTAATCTGTGTTGGCAAGTTTGGGATGTGACCATGGCGGTCGGTAGCCTGTAACAGACCTCTGACTAGGAGAATTCGAGTGGTAGTAGTTACTTATTTAAGAATACATTCAGGTAAACAGCTGCACCCCATGTACCCTCAAGTGGGTAAGAAGCTGTTGCAGTCTCTGACAACCACTGCTATTTGTGCTAAAACTCCGAATGTAATGTCCTTAATTAGAATCCATAGAAGAACCATGTGTGTGTGAGTGTTTTTGTTTTTTTAATTTTAACAAAATGCAAGTGTGATGATAAAGGAGCGTGGCTGGTGATTTCTACTTTACTTTTTAGTGGGTTTTTTTTTTTTCCAGCTGGCAGTGGAGCTTTTGCACCCAGATAGATGGAAAGCCCTCCCACTTTGGGGCTGCCCTTCGTGGCTGTTTCTCCACCTCTCTGATGCCATACTCTTGAGTGTGGATGTTTGGGAAGCCCAACCTTTGGAAGGGTATTTCCTAACAGGGCTCACAAACTGTCTTTTAAGGCTTTCCCCAGAGAGGCTTTCCAAGTAGTGTCTTCCACAGTGGTGGCTTCAGTAGCAGTAGAGACATAACAACTTTGAGGGTTTAATGTTCCTTTAGGTTCCTACATCCTGTTTGTTTTATTAAAAATGTCTTAAAATGTTATAGTTACACTGTGTATGTTTTTAAAGGTGCTGTCATCCCAGCCCAGATCCCATCCAACTTTTTACTACTGAGTGAATGGTTGCCTGTGTGTGCATTGTTGCCCTGACTTTTTGTTTAGTCTCTAGCCTCCTTAGGAAAGAACCTGCTCCTGCTGTGCTCATCAAGGTATTAGCCAATGATAATACTGTATTGTTGGTGTTGCACTTCAGCCAGGATTAGGTTTTGTAAGGATCTGTTACCGTCATATTTGGCAATATGGATGGATAAATGGGTGTTTTGATTGAGTTGTGAGGCTTCTGTTGTAGCCTAAAGTTAAAAAAAAAATGGCCCTTTAGATCATTTTGAGTTGGGGCAGAAGTAGCTGGAAGCAGCTGAGTGACTCTCAAGTGCCCAGGCAGATGAGCAGTTTCTGAGGATGAGATTCTGTGTGGGGGAGGGGGAGTACAGTCAGGGCTGGTGTGCTCAGTGTGGCTCTGCCTGAAGGTGCTGTGTGACTCTGGCTAATGCCCTAAAACCTTGACCTGGTGCTTCCTGTCCACAGAACAAGGGGTTCTACATCGTGCCAGGCACCTGCTTCAGCTCTTTAGCTATGGTGTGGCCTGTGCCACCCTGTGTGCATACTGCTGACATCATGGCAGCCTGGGAGGCATGGATCTATACAGGGTTGTCTCCAGAAGTGGCCAAGCTTTGGAATTTGGGTCTTGGGTCCTGTAAGGTTTTATAGGGTTCTCACAGACTCCCAATTTGGGCGCTGCATAATTATAACATAAGCAGATATCAATTTTGTACATTGAATCTATTTTAAATATTTTAGAGGAATTAGTCCATTATTTTAGATATATCCTCCAATGAGAGACTAGAAGTAGGGCCCTTCCATGAGGATTTCTGTTCTTAGCTTTTTTTATTAAGTGGATCCTTCAGAGAATGGTTTTAAAGTCTCAAGTTCAGATGGAATGGAGAAGATAGAAACTGAGTCCCTGCATCAGGCTCAGGACAGGGACAGAAAGGTCTAGACACCAGTGTAAGATGAAGAGGCTTGACGTTGCGTCCCTATTGAGCCATCAAAACATCCTTTTAATAAGCACATCCCAGAGCAAGTCATGAGATTCTTTCTGTTTTTCTTACAAGTCCCAGGTTATGCCTGGTTTGCTCAACACATCTCTGAGTGATAGAATGTAAAGGGACCTTAGGAATTTTTGCATCCTTTGCATACAGTGATGTGGTGGTTATGCTTTTCTAAGAATTTATGACTTAAACCCACAAACAGCAACATACAATAACAAAAGTTTCCCCGTACCATAGTGCATTTTAATTGGACTGTAAGAGTATTGAACTAATTCCTGACTGAACAAATACAGGATAATTAAGCCAGAGTCTAAAGCCCCTTGCTGTACTGCTAATGGTATTTATGAGTTTACAATAGTGGTTTGCAATATTTGACTATGTGTTAGAAATAATATTTTTAAGTAATTAGTCCCACTGGTTCTCACTTCCAGTGGGTTCTGAGTCAGTTGACTTGGGGTGGGGCCTGATAGTATTTTTGGAAACTTCATAGGTGATTATGATGCATAGTTGAGATTGAGAACCACTTTGTGCAGAGTTCACAGATGTAGCTCTGTTGGTTCTTAATTCCACAAAGCCATGGAGAAGGGAGGAATTGATGATCAGAGAAGAGCCCATCTGGCCCCAGGCCCATAGCTAGTAAACAGCAAAAGAGAACTTCAGGCAGACCTCCTGGTTCTGAAACACAGCCCCACCTGCTGTCTGTACCCTTTCTCTTGCAACAGTAGCCAGGATTTGTCTTATGTTGAGACTAGATAATGTTACTGAGTGCTTGCTGAAGCATCTTCATTCATGAGCAAACACAGCACATCCCAATTCATTTTGCTTTTAAGCCTTTTATTACCTGAGGTAGAAAGGCAATAACCATTTCTTGACAGGGACTGTGGGGGCAGATACATATAAAAAGATATTAAGACATGGTTCAACATCATGGACATTGCCCAGCAGGGAGAGCAGGCTTGTGTGCAGCTGACTGTGGATTTAACTGGTACACATCATCAAATGCTTTTTCAGTTGATAGAAAACTAAGGAAAACGAGGAAAGGAGTCACAGAGGGGTAGTGCTTGAATTGAGTCTTCAGAGCTGACATTTTTTTTGCCAGGTGGGGTTTGGAAAGCAGAATACATCACTAGATAAAACACATAGATGGGAGAGAGAAAAGTGAGGTAGAGGGGAATTTTCAAATTGAATCAGAACTGTGTGCCAGGGGGGAAATTAAAAGATGGAACTGAGAGGAGAGGAGACTGGAGTTGGGGATTACAAGTAGGAAGGCTTGGCTTTGATTAGGTGAGATGTCAGGACCAGGAGGAGGTAGGGAAAAGGAGACCAGGGTGAAGGGTAGACTCAGACTTGGTGGTGGTTTTTGTTGGAGAGGAGTGGAGGATATTCAAAGCTAGGCTCATGGGAGAATAATACTGATGACGGAAATGAAGATGGATATGTCCTCAAGGGCGAGTCGTATGTCCTAGAGCAGCCTAGATACAAACACTGGCACTTGTTCTCAGTTCTTCGGCTGCCATGTCTCTGCAGTGACTTTCTGCTCTTCACCTGCCCTTCTCATTCCCCCCCACCTGTTCTCTTGAACTGGCCCTACAAGATCCTTGGTCAACCGACTCATTTGCCATTGCCTGTCACCAAAATCCCCACTGCCACTGGAGGCACCTCATTTGTTATCTCTCACATTGGATTGCACTAAGACGATCAGAGAAGGCTTTGTTGTTGTTTTTGTTTTGTGGTGGCCTCCAGTTTTTCTCTAGATAGTTGGCACCCACCAATTTGAGGTATATTTTGTTTTGGGGGGGGTTGTTTTGTTTTATGTCCCATGTTAAATAGGAAAATCCTGGTTGGAAAAGGTTGATGGCTTTCATATATGAATATCACAGCTCTTTAAAAAAAAAATCAAAGATGGGAATTGAACCTGAGTTCTCTGAACAAGTCTCCAAATATTACTGGAATTTGCTGGGTCCAGGATTTAGGAATGTTTCAAGGGTTTTGCCGGAACAATCTTTAAATGCATTTTCCTTTTGTTTCACTTCAGAAGAGTCTAGGAGGCAGAGATGACATGGCAGGAGAGTACATCTGAGTTGTCAACAGTCTCAGTAGTGTCAGGTCAATTACATCAGCACTTGGTAGACCAGAGGGAAGGAATGGTTGTGCCTCCTGGGAATGTCACAAGGACCTGATAATTATATTTGGCAAAGCTATGAGGAGTGGCTTTGTAATGTCATTGCTAAGAATTACCCTTTTAGTAGCATTTCTGGACGCCTGAGCTTTTCAGATGGATGGCACATTTCTGCAGTGCCTTCCTTCCCGCTGGGCTGTTTCCCAGGCGGACCTCCTACTCCTCCCTGTCCTTGCTTCCTATCTGTATTTTATCCTGTCTTCACCCCAAGCCCCATTTCTCCAGCCCTTTCTGCCCTTACCACACTTTCCACTCTCCCATGCTAGAGGTGGAGGGTATGAGGATGCTGATGCTGGGATGCTGATGCTGAGATGCTGATGCTGGAGATGCTCAGAGGACTGCTCACTCAGCACCTGAGGTAGCCTCAGTCCATGCTTCCATGACTTGCTTCCAGGCTGCTGTTACTACCTTTGTGTTCATGGGACTCAAAAGTTATGGGGAAGGTGACCAGGAACCTGTGACAGCAACAAATGCTTTCCCAATTGTGCCATACCTTATGCTCTTCCATACAATTTACTAATCTCTGCCTCAGTTTCTCCATCTGTGAAAGTGATGTAATACTTATCTACCTCCCTTGGATGTTGTGAAGATTAGTATGTGTTGGTAAAGCACTTTTGAAATAAAGAATGATACCAAGCATTTGACATTATTGTTGTCATGGATGCTCTACTAGAGAGAGGCTAGACAGACCTATAGTGGAAGCCAGAGTACTGGGATTACAGGCGTGTGCCACCATGTACAGCTTACAAAGTACTAAGAAGAGAACTCAATACCTAACAGACAAGTATTCTACCAACTGAGTTACATCCCGAGTCCCATGATTATTTTCTTATGAAAAAATTCAAGATTGCATTTCTTTAAATAGTCCTTTGGTGCATTTAGAGTGAGATTCAATTTATAGAATGTGATTTATGCATATGTTAAAGAACACAGCTGTTGACTCTCCATTACTCCATACAATTATAGGCTTACAATCTGGCTATTAGCTAACCGTGTAGTCTGTTGTCATCAGGTAGGAAATGTTTGTGTAGAACTGGAGATCAAACCCAGAGCCTCACACATGCTAGGCAAGTGCTCTAACACTGATCCACACCCCAGCCCTACATGGAAACATATGCTTACACTATCCAAATGTCCAGCCCATGAGTGAAAGGTCAGCATTACTCTGAATGGACATGATAGGTAATCCTAGTGCATGTGATCCAGACCTCTAGTTCTGCTGGCAAAATGTCTGAAACACTGAAGTGTGGGTTGGGGCAACCATATTCACCAAGGGAATGGAAGGAACTCCCCAGCTATAAACCTGGAATGCATTTTTTAATGTCTGTTAA